CTTTTGAATAAACTGAATTGAAGTTTTGAGAAGGGATACCGCATATCAATTTTGTATGTGGGGTTAAATGGCCATAGGTGGTTATGTTATCTTTCCTTGTTACTGGATGAGCTGTTTTATTTAGTTTAATTGACAAAACTCCAATTATACGTTGTTTTCTAATTCAGCTGCTATTAGAGAGAACAAAGAAATGATAGAATATCCTACTTTCAACAATAACAGTCTCCAATTTAGTAGTGGTACATAACCATTTTAACCATTTACTAATGTAGTTGAAGTGGCAAGCAAACTACTATCAATTACTAATTTAATGACAGGACGCAAGATTACGGCATAGAAGGGTGAGCAGATGTTTTTAGATTGTTTGACGTGTTAGGGACTGCCCACCCTGTAATTTGCCTTCTACACATCATATACTGTATAGGCAATGGATAACCTGCCTGAGAAGATGAGGGTAGTTTGAGGGTCGAATTGGCCATTCGCCCTCAGACTACTCTCCCACTCCCAGGCTGCTGGCAGGCACTCCACCGCCAGCAGTCAAGAAAGCATCAAGGTTGTTTAATGGTTAGAGCATATAAATGTGTTAAGCATCAAGCATGTGATGAAAAGGGTAAAAATAATTTAACGATTAGGATAAAATGTTTTTCAAGTCAAATGGTTAAGAAAGTAAAGACGTAAAGAGAATATCAGTGTGGAAGGGAGAGGAACATTTTATAAGTAAAACTGGAAAAGGTGCCATTATGAAAGTCAACAAGTAATACGGGTAGAGATAGGTGTCAGAGAAATAGGAGGAAAATAATCTGGGGAATGATATAAAGGGAACAGGGGAAGGTGGAAAGGTATCAGGGATAATGTCAGGAGGAGGGGTTTGGAGGACACTGTTGTGACAGAAGGGAGTCACATGAGCATCCAGGTAGGAGTGGTAAGGATAAAGGGGAAAGAAGAGGGAGTGGTGGTACACGTGGAGGAGAGGATGGGTGTTTTGGGGAGAGAGGGGAAACTTGAGGAGTATCAGCAAATACTTTAAATGCATAGTGAATAGTAATAGAAGGTCTGAAAGATGGATGAGAGAGTGAAGCATTTCTCTTGGGTTATGTTTAGGAATTTTTTTATGTCAAGAATTTCTGGAGGGAGTTGGGTGGGGAAGTCTGAGAAACAAAGGTTTTCTTGTGAGAGGCAGAGGAAGAGGTGGGTGTAGGAGAGTAAAGTAGGAGAATATGGGGTGGAATATTTAGATGCCTCTTACGATAGATAAGTGAGAAAGAGTAGGGGTTGGCATCGAGGAAGTGACATATGAGTACTGGATTTAGAATTGCTACCTAAGATTCGAGCTTATATGTAGGACAACTATAAATTATTTATGGGAGCCTCCACAATTGGCAAACGTGCATAACTGAGCAGGGCAATTTGAACGTTCATGGCCAGGTTGGGCACCCAGAGGGCAGCAGGCTGTAGAGTTACAGCATTTAGTTGGGTGTTTAAAACGCCAACATTTCTGCACTAGCGGGGAAGGACACTCCACCAATATATACTTCATGGAGAAGGTCGTCTCAGCGGAAGCTAATCTTGTTATAGATGGGTACGGTCCAGTTCAGTAATATTTACGAATTCTGCTTTAGCTCGGGCCTTTTCTCAGGAGTGGCCCGGCCAATGGAGATGGGAAACTGTTTCGGTACAAGTATGAAGAGAGGAGGGAGGTTCGGCAGGAATAGCTTTGCCAGTGAGGTCAGTCAGGGTAGATAGAGCACCAGCTTGGCACTCAGATGTAACTGTAAGAAGGCATGAACGATCGGAACGAAATGAAACGCATACTTGTTTTAGAGACATTGTTAGTAGAGAAGGGTATTGTCGGATTAAAGGGTTGTACGGGGAACACAAAGAATCGATCCCAATTAGCTCGACCAAAAAGAGTGCTTAAAAGGTTTGCAGAGGTGGAATCAGTAGAAGGACGGAGGCGGGAGGAAGGTGTGGTGGTATGGAGTGAGGCAGTACTGTGGGAGGACAATAAGGTTGAAGAGTAGCAATGAAGGAGAAGGTGGTAGACAATGAAGAAGACTGTGTAGCAGATGGGAGTGGAGGATGTAGGGAGGGAAGATGCATATTCTGAAGCTTGAATAATGATCAGTGTGGATGATTCGGAAAAGATAGAGTTGTTAGTAAACATCGAGGAGAGTGCATTTGTCAGATTTGTGGTAAAAGGAAAGGCAAGGCTTGGTAAACCAGAGAAATCAAATTTAGATAGGCTAGTTCATGAAGGGGCAAGTTTTAATGTCCCTAACATGGGTAAAAATGGTGAGCCTAAAATAAGTGGGGAAAGAAACAATTTGCCCCTCAGGGTTCCCAAAAGAGACAAAGGTTCAAGGGAATACAATTTTATAAGTAGAGAATGATTTCATAGATTGTTTTTTTCTTTTATACACACACACACACACACTCTGCCTCGGTACTGCTGCTTATCCAATTTGTAGCCTCTACCTCCATAGTTGGCAAGCCTCTGCCGTCACCGAAGCCACGTGGCCCTGAGCTACCATATAATCATTACAGGCCATTCACTACATGCTTACTCCTTTATTAAACTCATTTTAACGTTCTTGACCCTTCGCAGTCACCACGAACAACACGCAGCACATCCTTTACCTGGGATGGGGCCGATAACGAGGTAACCGATAGACACAACAAGCATCGTCGCCCCAAACGTCGGCACGAAGTCGTCCAGTCCCATGTAGTCGATCATGATTAGAACGTAGATGCTCATGATGATCCCTTCGCCGATGCCCCACACTGCTAGGACGACCGTCAGCCACAGGACGTCCTCTATTTGCGTAAAGGCTGTGGGATGGCATGAGAAATCCTGAAGAAAATGGCATGGAACTCCCGTGGAAATTTATCGGTGAAAGAGAGACGTGTGTTGTGCACATTTTGATATTGGATAGATTTTAATGAAAGGTGAAAACAGCAGCTTTTGTCTTTGCTGGTTTTACCTGGAAATAAAATTGGACATGGAATACTGATTGGTAAGGTGATTTCTCTCCACCGGAAGTAAGACGTTTTGACAAAGGTTGCTTCTCTCTCTCTAAAAAAAATGGTCTCTGAAAATGATCACTTTAACAGAGCTTTACCGGAATGCACATTGTATATCCTTTAATATCCATCTGCTTGTTTATCTACCTGCCTATCAAATTACAAGGTGTCTTCAAGCTTTTCAAACTGAATAATTTATGGTGGGGAGTCAAAAGAAAAGACGTTGCTCACCTAGCATTGAAAGGGCGACAACGAGGCTGCCCAACATGAAGAAAACCCTCTTGTTGAACTTGGGCAAGTCCGTGAGCGGCGACAGGATGACGCGGATCAGCATGCCGCATAGGGCCGCCACCGAGACTCCTGTTGCGACGTCTTGCAGGCTGTGGCCGGCCTCTTGCATGGCGAAGGTTAGGACGTTTAAGAAGTTCTCGTTGGCGTTGAGGGTGAGTGTTATGCTGATGGCGATGACGACAGCTCTCGCGTGTTTCAGGATGCAAAGGTCCGCCAGCGTGGCTTTGATCAGACGAACTATAGTTGAATCTTCCTGCTTTTTGGTATTCTCTTTGGCAGCAGGATGGGCGACTTCTGGAGCTCTGGAATTCCGTCTGGTAAACGATGGGCTTGTGGAACTTGCTCCTGCGACTGGATAGCTTGCCTGACTGTATCTGGTGACCAGGGAGATTTTGGCTTTTCTTCTTGTGGTTGCCTGCTAAGGACATTTTCTGCAGATGTCTGAGAATCTGGACTCTCGTTTGATAACGTGGATGAATCAGAAACATTTTCTTGTGAGGACTCTGGCTTCACGCCCTCTGACTTCTCCAAAGGCTTCAAATGCCACTCAACCGGATGGAAAACTGCAGCTCCGACAGCGCAGTTAAAGACGACAGCTCCCAGCACTAGCGTAGCGCCTCGAAACCCGTACTGTGTCTGAAGGAAGTTGATGAGAGGAGGCCCCAGGAACTGGCCGCCCCCCTCCCAGGCCATGAGGACTCCGTTGGCCAGGCCTCGCCGTTTGTTGAAGTAGAACGGCACGATCATACAACTAATGTTGTATAGGACACCGCAGCCAAGACCTACAAATGATATGGGTGTAAGGACGTGGTATAAGTCAACTAGAATGATCTATTACAAGGACAGTAATAAAAATGTGCTCAATATGGACAAGACTAATTTGTTTTGCTTGATAAAACCATCATTGGATAGAACGGGTCATATTAAACCAACATTTCATGTTTGAAATAAAGCATGCTCGAAAGCTGCATGAGATTTCCCAATTGTGGGACATTGCAATGCATTTACTACTAAATGTAGATGCCGATTACTTTTATACTTATTTCGCTCCAGGATTATTTATATAATTCATAACGCAATAACCGGATGCTTAATTTACATATCAAAATAAAACAAGTGATGCGCGCCGTGAAGAGGAATTGCAATAACGGATGCAAGTTCTGCCAATGTCTCATCCCTGCCTGCTTATCCGTCTGTCCATCTCGCTCGCTCTCTCTCTCCACCGACCTCTACCTACCCACAAACGTGCTGTAAGTGAGGAACAGCATCCCAGCGGAGGTGACAAAGGCCGACATCACCGTCCCGGCAGCGAGGACGACGGAGGCCCCCAGCGCCACGATCCTCCAGCCGAATTCGCCTTCGAGTGGTCCCAGGAACGGGCCTGTGATGGACCACAAGAAGCTGGCGACGTTGAAGATCCAGCTGCTCGTGGTGAGGTCGGTTCCCAGGTCCAGGAGGAAGCTGGAGAAGATCACGCCGAAGCATTGGCCTATCGTGTCGACCAGTACCTGACGGGAAAGACGTGTATATATATATATATATATATATATATATATATATATATATATATATATATATATACATATGTATATGTATACATATACATATATATAATGTGTGTGTGTTATTGTATATATATATATATATATATATATATATATATATATATATATATATATATATATATATATATATATATATATATATATATATATATGCACATATATATGCACATATATATAAATATAAATATATATATATATATATATATATATATATATATATATATATATATATATATATATATATATATATATATATATATATATATATATATATATATATGCACACACACACACACACACACACACACACACACACACACACACACACACACACACACACACACACACACACACATGTATGCAGGACCGTCGACAAGGTGGGGGGGGGACACCCTCATATTCTGGAAAATGAGATAACATATAAAAGAAATAGCATATCTGCTATTATGCAAAAAAAAAACAAGGAATAATATTTAGATTTGGGCAAGCATAACCCTGCTTCATACTCTTGTGTCATTTGCTTTGCTACTTATATAGACCTTACACACCCACAAGGTCTAAATAAGCACTTATATAGACCTTACACACTTACATATGCACATGCAGTAGCACGCACACGCACACAAGTGCACACACACACAAATATATATAATTTTATGCATGTCAAGATCGTTACTGATTTAACAGTTAAAAGATACATTCATTATGATTGTAAAAATGTAGATGTCACTGAAAACGTTTATATTCCTACTTTTATTTTTTAAAAGGCATATGAATATAGCATATTTTGTATTATAATGAATAAAGTAAATTGTAATAATCATCTTTAAATGGTTGGTTTAAATATTATCAAATGAATGGCGGAAAAGTAATAAGTTGGTTGTTTTAACGTTTTTTTTCCCTTCGATGAGTCTTGGCTTTCACCCCAAACACAACGAAAAGGTAGGGAAAATTTGTGGGGAAAACAAGACGCAATGCTTTCTTAGTTGGGAAATATTTAATGATTTTTTCGGCCCATGAATACAGCAACGGAATTAGTCAAAGAAGACAGTTCGATGATATCAAGTAATAGATAGAAAATGTACTATTATTGATTTACTATGAAAATTACATTCCTACTAGGTATTGTATTTTTTATGTTTATTTTTTATGTGCTGCTTCTTTTTCAATCAGGTGCATATATTTATTCTTTATTTTCCGAAGGAGGGACCCAAGTCAAGATTGTTACTGATATGACATTTAAAATGTGTATTTGTTATTGAAAAGATGTATAGACCCTTCTGAAAATGTTCATATACATATTCTTATTTTTAACGGCATATCAAGATAACAAAGTTCAACAAATCAAGTAAATTATAATAATCATTTCCATATGGTTGGTTTGTTTTAATGTTAACAATAGAAGGTGGTAATAAGTAGGTTGTATTATAGTTTTCCCTTGGGTAAGTCTTGGCTTCCGCCCTAAACACAGAGAATAGAAAAGTTTGAGAAAATTCATGAAAAAATATCACACCATAGCGCCTGCCTAGTTGTTGGGAAATATTTATTTATTTTTCTGCAGTGGATACAGCAGCAGAATTAGTCAAAGGAGACAGTTCCAGTGGTAGCAAAGAATAGAGTGAGAATGCATTATATGTCAAAGGAAAGTTCAAGGAAGGAATACCATGAAGGCCAAAAGGAAGGGATCGATTACTTTATATACAATTAAATAATAGAAAGAAACTGAAATCAAAAGGGGGGGATGGGTTGTCTTGATCCCGTTTCAAGCTTGTGTTTGTTATATTCGTAGTAATGCTTATCGACTTTCAATTAGTAGGAAAAGGGAGGCTGTAGAGATAACCTCAGATTTGAATCATGTTAGAGAATATTGCTTGTTTTTATTGTAATATTCCCTGCTAAGATTTGTATTGTGAAATGCCACCTGCTATTTGTATATAGATAAAAGTTAATGGTTAATGATATTTCTATGTCTGTTGTAACTTTGACTCACACTCAACAGAGGAATGAATTCAATTCCTCCCAAGAACCTTAACACCGGTAGGCCATGCTACCGACGCTAGATTTAACTGTACAGTAAAAATTTAAGTAGAAATATATATTTTGTTTATGGAAAAAAAAAATCTGCTGTGACACACACACACACACACACATGTATATGTATAAATAAATAAATATATATATATATATATATATAATATATATATATATATATATATATATAATAAATATATATATATATATATGTATGAATATATCTTATATCTATATCTATATCTATATCTATCTATCTATCTATCTATCTATCTATCTATCTATCTCTATCTATATATATATATATATATATATAGAGAGAGAGAGAGAGAGAGATAGATAGATAGATAGATAGATAGATAGATAGATAGATAGATAGATAGATATAGATATATATAATATATATTATATATATATATATATATATATGTATTTATGTATATGTGTATATATATTATATATATATATATATATATATATATATATATATATATGTATACTATGAATAAATTATTATATAATATATATATATATATATTATATACATATATAGTATATATATATCATATAGTAATATATATATATATAATAT